TTTATTCATTGAACATTTATAGTGTCAACTCTATGATATAAAATGACCTTCAGAAGTTCATTTTATTATACACTAAGACATTATAAGCAAAAATCAGCAGGTTCAATATACAGAATGATTACTAGTTACTAAATCTAAGCCATATGAAAATGTTGATAGCTTCACCACATCTTTCAATATTTCCTCCAAGCCCAATACTTCTACATGGCAATCTCCAACATAAAGCACCATAGGAATACTTTCCTTTAATCAACAAGTTTCTGAGAATAGTATATTAAAAGTCAGGTAGAAGAATAATTTATCCTACCCTGGTTCTCAAGTAAATGGTCATATAATCTAAAAAAATAATAGGAAATAATTTTGATTGTGTGGTAGCAAAAGTGGATTATTGTTGTCTTAGGGAGCTTTTATGTGCAAAATACATTTAATGATAATGTGAATTCTCCTACACTATTATATTTTGTGACCATCTGGGGAAATAGTCTTGAGGATAAATATAGCAGAAATGATACTAAAAGGAAAAATAGCATATGTAGTTGATTCTTTTTGATAGTCATTTATACTATGAGATTTCTAAGTCCATATCACAGTGATAATAATGGAAAAATTCTAATCCCTTTATCATTATTCCCATCGGTGTCCAGGAGTTCCAATTCTAAGAGCATGTTACATCTCTGTAGGCATGTAACATGAAGATATAACTCAGAAAATTTTTTGAGAAATTGTTTCTTCACATGAAGTATACTTGATAATAGCATTTTAATGTAATATTGACATTTCTGGTTTTTAACTCTGTTGGGCAGAATCTTGATGGAAAAGAAAATCACTTGTGACAGCTTCAGCATGAGTGTCTAATATCATGGCAATTTAACATGTTTTTTTTTCTGTATCAGAGATATTCCATTAAAAAAAGACTAAAGTTTCCTTTATGGTTTACAGAAGAAAATAATTTCTCATGGTAATGTTAAAATTATCTTTAAATTACTAATTATTAGACTGAATACTGTGGAAAATATTGGTAGCTTTTTGGAGGTTTTGCTAAATATTTTATAATTTTATTTACCCTAGTATATATATTAAATATATGTATATATATATATGTTTATACATATATATTTAAGTAGCTTGTTCTGAATATTGAGTTAGGCATTTGGGCTGATTTTGTCTGCTGTCATCAAACAATTCAGAAGTTGAGTCAAATCTTCACATTTTTGATCCATGTGACATTTATTGTTGAACAGAGGACTATCTGCACTCTTGTTACTTGGAATATGGCCCACAGGCTGAATGCATCAGAATCACCTTGGATCTCCTGTAAATACAAGATCTCAGCTCCAGATATGCCAAATCTGCACTTGCACTTTAAGATCTCTAGATAATTAAAGTCCTAACTACACCAAGAGATCTTGACTATGTCTCCACATTAGAACCACGTAGGGTCTTTTAAAATGTCTTGATTCGTAGACCTATTAACCAGACCAATTAAATAAGAGTCTTTAAGAGTGAAAACTTAAGTATTTTTAAATGCTTACCAAGAGCTTCCAGGTTGGAGAACTACTGATTAAAAAATCACTAAATTTACCATATTTTGAAAGAGAAAAAAAGAAAAAGAAAGTGAAACCAGTTAGTTGGTATTTGGTACTGCTCTATAAGTGATTGATTCTTTTTAACTTTTAATGTTTGCTTTGCTAGTGTGTGAACACAGCCTATTATGTCTCTACTTGCCCAGAGTGTTTTTTTTTTTTTTCCGTACTGTGGCTTGAACTGAAGACCTACACCTCCAGTCCCTCTACCAACCCTGTTTTGTGATGGTATTTTTAGAGATAGAGTCTCACAAAGTGTTTGTGAACCATGTCCTGATCTCTGCCTCCTGAGTAGCTAGGATTACAGGCACCTGGCCCCCAGAAGTGTATTGTATTGTAAATCAAGAGGAACACTTTACTGTTCAAATTGACTAAAAGAGATTTTATGTTTGTTTTTCAGTTTCACTTTTTTTTTTGTCAACGCTATTCTCCAGCCTGACAGATCTAAATCCTAACTTCAGACCCTCTGCACATTCTCACCATGGTATCTCTGATTGCCCACCCTCTTTTATACTCAATCCATTCTCATTTTTTCTCTCAAGCATCCTCTTCTTACTCTAAACCAAATGGATTCTGCTCCTCTGAATTCCCACATTATTCATTATTCCTGCTATGTACCCTTACTTTATGATCTTACATTTTTAGCTCTACTGTTACTTAATTTCTAGATATAATCTCAAGAATCAAAAATGTATATCAAAATCTTATGCATGAACAAAGAAGGAAAAATAAATCATAGCATAGTACATGTGACCATCATTATTATCTGGTTTTATAGATGAGGAAACTGAGTCTCAGGAAGGCAAGGGTGACTGGCTAAAAAGTTTCTATGGTATGATTTTTTTCCCAAGACTATGTAACTTAAAGTACAGAGACTGTTTGGTAGACTTTGGTTGTGTTTGTAAATGTGTGTGTGTGTGTGTGTGTGTGTGTGTGTGTGTGTGTGCTAATATGGTGGAGTACTTGGTTATAATTCTGGTGTAGATTAAGACTATGAGCACACCAAAACTGATTAAAAGAAAGCTTATTCTCAAAATCTATACCCACTTTTACCTTTAGAAGAGACTCAGTGATTTTTCTTATTTTCACTGATTTGGTGTTTTTCAGTGAAAATTAAAAGTTTGTAGGTAGGTTGGGGGACATGGTCAGATTGTACATCTTTCTTTAAAAGTATGTTTTATCATACAAGTAACAAATTAGAGCAAAATTAAATATGTCTAAAATCTCTTTATCCAACACCCTGTCCTCTAACATACACACAACCTACTCCACCCATTGAAGACACCTTTGTTTCTTCCTCAGAAGTAGCAAATTATGTCTGTGCAGTGCTTTAATACACTTTTCAATGCATTTAAATGTATAAAAATGACATATATAATAATTCTTGTTGTTGGAAAACTCATTTATCTTGTAAAACATAATATTCTTGGGAATTAAGAGTTTTATTTATATGTCCAAAATAAAAGACCTGGGAAGAAAATCTAAGTCAGGGGTTGACAGAGTTAAGATTCAAAATTATATCTCAACTCTGCAGAATAATACCCTGAAGACAGAAAGATAAAAACTTAGCCCAGATAAATATTAAATCCCTGCATAAAAGACAGGCAACAAATGCAAAATTCTGGTTTAACTTTCGTTTATATGACAAAAAAATCCAGAGGTTTGGTTATCACAGGCTCAAAATGTAATAAAAATTCTAGTGCTCTGAAAAGTCAGAGCTTATCGCTAAAATAAAATTCCTATAAAAACATTGGAAATTACTTCAGAATATCTTATTTTTTGAAGGGAAGTCCCATTATGTAAATAATAGTATGTAATAGTATGTAAATACTATTATGTAAAATGTGTTGAGCTAGTGATTTTAAAGTGTAGGACTTGCTTTGTGACAATATATTCTTTATACATATTTTTCATTTTTTATTTAAAAAAAGAAAAGTAAAACAATGCCAGGAGCATTGGGCTGGGATTTAGCTCAGTGATGAAGCATGTGCCTAACATGTGAGGCCCTGGGTTTGATCCCCAAAAAATGAAAAGAAGAGGAAACTCTTGCTTCCTTTGGTACTATCTTGGCATCTAGTTCAGAATAAGGCATTACAGACCGTGAGAGTTAGCTCAAAAAATGCTACGAGTCATCATGGCAGGAATATTTCTTTTCCTTTTCAGTGTCTTCTTGAATAAGGATCTTTCCCTGTGGAAATAATGTCACTTGATAGAAAGCTAATTGTCCAGTGGGATGACTCACTTCATCCAATAGTCATAGCCAACATTCTTTTCCAGAATGCCTGGTAGATGTTAGGAGTAGAGAAAGTCAGACCACTCACTCTCTTTGTGAGACATATGCCTCTCCATATGAAATCTCCACATCTGCACCAGAAGATAATTACAACTTTGAAAATTTGCAAACAAATACAGATTTTATTTTCTTCTTCTTCTTCCTTTCTTTTTCTTTTTAAGACAGGTCTCACTGTGCAACCCATGCTGGCCTAGAGCTCAAGATCCTCCTCCCTCAGCCTCCAGAGTGCTGGAGTTATAGGTATGTGCAAACACACCTAGATGTGATTTTCATTTTTAAAATCATCCAAACAAGAAAACTTAGAAGCTCCTCATTCACTGATTCCCTACAAGTCATTCCCTAGATTTGTGGATAGTTTATTTTTGTGATTTTGGATATGTTAATACTGATTATATAGGGCACAAAGAAGTATAGGTTCTGAGAGGTTAAATGGTTTTTTCCTAATGAAAAATGAATATCATATTCATTTGTCATGACCATGACTGATATAAAACATAGGTGATTATGAATTGACCTCTTTCCAGTTTTTTAAAGTTAAGGTAACCTCTCAAATGAACATGCTATTTCCAAAAATCACTGTTTGAATGGGAAGGAACAAGCTAAATCAGCAGAACAACTGTACTGTTATATTTTTAACCAAAGGATGGTTTTATTTTAATTTATCTTTGCCCCAATGTCTACCAAGCACATGAGAAGGAGATTCAAGGTCTTAACTCCATTACTGGCTTTATTCAGCACTGTCAGACCAATAATAGGTGTTTATCTACTAGCGTGTGCTACTTCAGATAGAGAGGATCATTATCCCTCTCCTTCCCCAAGGAAATATCTATATCTCAGATCAGTCTAATTAGCCAGTATGTGAAGAATAGAAAATTGTGAGACAATACCCATGCTCACCCATGCTCATGATTGCTGGCTTTAAAAAGCTCAATAAAGTTTCTATCTACATTTTCTTGTTTACATGGTAGAGTAAAATGGATCAAACAAGCACAGATTTGTGGCAACAGAGATGCTGCCTTTGTACAATATAACACATACTGTGTATCAAAGAAATATCGTGCCACTTCTCCGAAGCTGACATTGGAATGACATTGTAATCCTGGCCATCTGTCTTCCTCCTCTAGACATCGATGAATGTGCGGTGGTGAATGGAGGCTGCCAGCAGCGCTGTATTAACACTCTGGGCACCTTCCACTGTGAATGTGATACAGGATACAGACTCCATGTGGATGAACGCACCTGCATAAGTGAGTAAATATTAGAACCAGCTTGAAGCCATTTTCAATGAAAATCGACCTGCCCATGTAGGGGCAAAAAGGAAAGGTTTTTCTATTGTAAAAATATCTGTAGAAGCTGATAGTTGTCAAGCACAATTCTACCTTGTAGAGCTAAGAAAAAAAAAAGATGTTTTGATATTAAAAGATGAAAATGATGGGGAAGGACAAATAGAAATTTACAAGCATAAACAAAGTTTGAGTCTCTAAGTGTTTGAATATTTCTATGACGTACAATTTGTATCATACCCAGTGAAGTACAAATTTATTAGTTTGTGCTGATAGTCAACAAGTACAGCAAAGAACCACAATGCAGTGAGGATGCTAGGCCATGCTGGTTACTAACTCCAGTGATCTCATTTCATATCAGACACAGAATTAGATTCAGATCTCGATTCAAGGTTGTAATTCAATCCTCAAAAAAATTTTACCAAGATTATGTGCCAAAGAGCTTAGAGTTACTCAAACGTGGTTAAAACTACCATGTTAAATGTAGATGGCAATATATTTACTCTGCATCAAAATGCTCTTAAATGTAATATGTGAGTGATTCAATTACTGTTTTACATCACCTTTGTATGATTCTGAATTTTATAAACTTCCTAAAATGCACATATGCAGTATTATAAACAGGAAAAAAAAAATCACATTCCTTCCTGTGTGATTTGTAAATGCTCTTTATTGTTTTCACTGAAGTAATTTACATAAATGTGGTTTTTTCGTTGAGTCTATAGTCTATAGACTCAAACAACACAAAGATGCAGTTTAGTTTTATCTCCTGTCTCTTTCTAAAGTAATTATTATATTAAAAAGGTAGCCCCTAATAAAGGACAATTTAATTGCTGACTTTATTTATATGGGGGTGTTAACCAGTTCATTCATATAAAAATATTAGCATCTTATAAATTATTCTAGAATTATGGCACTTGGAATATAAATCAGCCAGTGTCACTTAATTTTATAATATAAACTCCCTTTCTTTTTCTTAGCATGTCTTATAGGAAACAAGAGAAGGCCAAGGAAAAGAGGTAAAGATGTCATAGACATAGGTATGATTTTGACATGAGAAAATGGGTTATAGTGGAGGGAATGCTTCCAAAGTCAAATGAAGATACAAATAGAAGTAAGACACTAATATCTAGGGAACTCAATATCATAATGATTATATCTGCAGCAAGCATGAGTTGTGGAACAGCAGCACATGAATATTTAATAAATTGAAGCACCTTCTTCCTGTAGGATTAATGGTCTAAGCAAGAGGTTTCTCCTTCCCATTATCAAATATTCTGCTGGTAACATTCCCCAACTGCCACCATAAATTCTTTGAGTCATGAAACACTTAGGAGCAGCAGGACTATTGATAAATGCAAATGAGGTATTTATCAGTAAAGGCTGAGCTGGTGAACTTTTGTGTCTAATATAAAAATATTTTGCAAAGTAAAGATTTATATGAATCAATAATATCTGGTTTTTATGATAAGGCAAAATAAACACTCTAGTCACCAACGAAATTTTGGTTACAAGTGTAATTAGTTTTCTAAACCCGAGCAGTTATTAACTATTTCCATCATTAATCTCTTCTCTTATTCCTTAACGGCACTGCCCTTAAATTTTCCAAGTTCTGTTTTAATGACATAAGGTCAAAGATTGGAGTTGGATAAGGATATTATAGTTCATCTTTAGTAATAGCTAATTTTCATCTCCATATGCTGGTCATAGTGCACAGGAGAAATTTGTATATAAATTGTGAGTGAATTAAACTAATGAGAAATGTGAATTTCATGGCTGCAGTCATTCTGGAGCTTTAGCCTCTTGGATGTCATTCTGCAGAAGATGCCAGACAAAGCGCCTCACACTACACCTTCATAGAAATTCTGATGCCTGAAGTTTTCTTCTAACACGGAAGTTTTCTTTTCAAAAATACCTTAAGAATGTCAGTTGACACTGTAATTATATCAATCTTGTTAAAAGAAGTACAAGAAGAATTTAAGCACTTTGTATTTGAAGATTGATAATATGACCTTAAAGACAATTGCTTGCATATTTTTCTGAAAGACTTTACTTAGAAAACTGAGTTTCACAGTAGTCTGTGTTTTGAGTTAGTTTCTAGGAAGGCTGAAATGTTTTTCAATGCAGGAAACTTGAATTGGCTCCTTTCCTAAGGATTTTACCTGGAAAAGAGAGTAGTGTTTGGTACTTAATGGAAGTTCATAGTAGATATTTTTATGATCCATGGTACAGTAACAGAAGAGAGAAGAGACTATGGATTTCACTACTTTGGACCAATTGAAATTATTTCCTTTCATTTCATCATTCTCTCCCTTTTTTTTTTTTTTTTTTCTATTCTGTGAATTAGTCACTGATCCGGGCTGCTATTACTTTTTGAATTGGAGTCTCTGGTGCTTTTCATGCTTTTTCTTAATGCTACAGTAAACTCCCTGCATCTGAAACAAAGAGTTTCAGATGAAGTCATTTCATAAAGGGTCCCCTCTCTAAGATCTTGGTTTTTGTGGTGGTGTATATATTGCAGTTACTAGTCAGCCTCTGTGAGAACGATAAGGGCACAAAACGTGGTGAAGGAGGAGTCCATACTACCTGGGTAAGGAGTCATGAGCATGACAGTATGCACCACTTGGCTTCCCATACAGGGCTGTTTGAACTGCTGATGCAACGAGCGCTCAGCAAAGCTGGGATCTTCACCTTGGTGAACTCACTTTGAGCCCATGAAGTTGTCTGCAAAGTTTTGGAATGCAAGTTGTTTTTATGGAGTATGGACCTGTAATTTTCTTCAACTTCTTAAAGGTGTTCATGGCATCCAAAAAATATCCCACATGTATTTTTGTCTTTATAATGGCACTTATTAAAAAGTATATATGTACTATATATATACATGGAAGAATCTCACTATACAGTTCTCTCATGATACTGTTTTACAATACTGTCATATGTCTGATGTCAAGGGGGTCAAGACTAAGGTAGTCCATGATTGCTTCCCCTAAAACCTCTTTTATAACAAGATCCCAGGCCTCTTTTATAACAGGATCCAACAGGGCATTGGTCCCTGTTGTTGGGCAGCACCATTCCTGGCCTACTGTCTCTCTCCTGAAAGGCAGCATGGGAAAGCCAGTCTGAGATGTCTCCAGGTAAGGAGCATTATTTCAAGTGAAGCAATTGCACTTGGTGGCAGAGCACAGAGGCAGCATGGGAATTCTTGGAAGATTTTCAGTACTATTGCATTCTCCATTAATGCAGACATTGCCAAGCCTGGAGACCAACAATTTGACAATGGAGACTAGATTTTAGCAGTCATCAGGAATGCTTGTGTTCATACGAGTTTGCCAGTTACATCTCGTCCATGCTGATCAGGTGGCGACAGTGGCGCAGTCGAATCCACGCTGACAAATGACCTGCATCAAGTCACTAAATGTCTGCACTCTAATCTCCTTATGCAATAAGAAGAAATTAGCCAGTGGCCTTAAAATTACTTCAACTCTAAAGTGTTACAATTGTATAGAATTTTTAAAATTACCAATTTATTATAAATCATCTAATAACTGAAACACTACTGGATTATGCATAATAACTATCTTATACCATTCTACTTTAATTTAAAAATGTTTAAAGAATTCATATCTTAGAAATCCAAGGCACAAAACAAATTTAGTTTAATAAAATGAGTGGTTGGCTTAAATGTTTTTATTGAGAACAAATACACTTGATGCTTTTGTGAAAATACTGTTTTCCATAAACTAGAATCATATCTAGAAGGAATCTGAGGAGTAAAGTAACCAAATCTCCTGTTTTAGAGATAAGAGTATCACAGCCAATTATATGAGGGAACATTCACCTTGAGAAAGAAAAACAGAGTATTTAGAAAAGCCTCACTAATCTCACTTCTGGTTTATTTCTTTCAAATAATTTCTGATAAATATTTTTTAAAATACATTAAGAAAAATACTAAAGGAAATGTTTTTTTTTATTCATATGTGCATACAATGTTTGGGTCATTTCTCCCCCCTCCTCCACCCCTGCCTCTCCCCCCCATCCCCTCGCTACCTGGCAGAAATTATTTTGCCCTTATCTCTAATTTTGTTGTAGAGAGAGTATAAGCAATAACAGGAAGGAACAAGGGTTTTTGCTAGTTGAGATAAGGATAGCTATACGGGAGTTGACTCGCATTGATTTCCTGTGCATATGTGTTACCTTCTAGGTTAATTCTTCTTGATCTAACCTTTTCTCTAGTTCCTGGTCCCCTTCTCCTATTGGCCTCAGTTGCTTTAAAGTATCTGCTTTAGTTTCTCTGCGTTGAGGGCAACAAATGTTATCTAATTTTGTGGGTGTCTTACCTATCCTCATACCTCACTTGTGTGCTCTCACTTTATCATGTGATCAAAGTCCAGTCACCTTGTTGTGTTTGCCCTTGATCTAATGTCTGCAAATGAGGGAGAACATATGATTTTTGGTCTTTTGGGCCAGGCTAACCTCATTCAGAATGATGTTCTCCAATTCCATCCATTTACCAGCAAATTATAACATTTCGTTCTTCTTCATGGCTGCATAAAATTCCATTGCGTATAGATATCACATTTTCTTTTTTTTTATTGTTTTATTATTCATATGTGCATGCAAGGCTTGGGTCATTTCTCCCCCTGCCCCCACACCCTCCCTTACCACCCACTCTGTCCCCTCCTGCTCCCCCTCTTCCCCTCAATACCCGGCAGAAACTATTTTGCCCTTATATCTAATTTTGTTGAAGAGAGAGTATAAGCAATAATAGGAAGGAACAAGCGTTTTTGCTGGTTAAGATAAGGATAGCTATACAGGGAGTTGAGTCACATTAATTTCCTGGGTGTGTGTGTTACCTTCTAGGCTAATTCTTTTTGATCTCACCTTTTCTCTAGTTCCCAGTCCCCTTTTCCTATTGGCCCCAGTTGCTTTTAAGGTATCTGTTTTAGTTTCTCTCTATTAAGGGC